CTGCACGTGGAAGCCATAGCGGTGCCTATTATGATCCCATCTCTGCAAGAAAGACTAGCGGCCTCTTCCGGTGAGACCTCCACCCCACTGATTCGGTCGGAGACCTGCTTGCCGGCGACAATCCGTCAAGGAAGAATGACCATCCCGCCGATTCTGAGAGAAAAGCCTTCTAAAGCACTCCGTATTACGGATCCACAACACATCCCTCCACTCCTTCCATTTTTGAAACTCTGCCATCCCCTTCTTCCCCGAAGATTCCCACCGCAGCCATTCTTTCTCCTTTAGCAGGTGCGACCCATCCCCCCCTTCCAAACTATTCGTTGTTGGAACAAGCTCAGGATGTTTCTCCTCCCAAATACCACCTTACAACAAAACCGATCATCATGAATGAACACGAACGGAGGACAGACCTTACCGTCCGACACTGTGATACGGACTCTCTCGGCATCAATGGCTTCGTTTGCATCCACCCAAATAAACCCACCACACAAATCTCCGACCGTCACGAACAAAGCATGGCTCCAGAGGTGAAGAGGAAGACCATAAATCGTCACTTTCTTCAGCCCCTTCTCTTTCAACACCTCCGAACACCCCACCCTGAAACTCCAAGCATCCAAACGTAGAGTTGCCTTCCCCCATTCCCGTCGACCCTCTTTTAGCACCCGAGATGCCTCTGCCAGAGAGGGAAGCCGAAAGAGAAGAAGAGAGTCTGGCAAAGGTGAAACCCCCACACCAAAGGAGACTTTCCAAAATCGCGATGCCCAAGCAGCGATTTGAGCCCCATCACCCACTTCCTTATCAAGCTTTCCCACCAAACATGACCGGATATCATCTCTTCTCCGTCCAACCGAGTCGTCATCCAAGAAAATCAAGGGCCCTCTATACAGATTTGCAGATCTCGCAGAACCACCTTGGAACAAACGTGGCAACCTACCAACCACCAAGAACGAATGCATGACACACACCCAAGCCGAGAAATCCACAAGAACCACAAACAACAAACCCAATCAGAGAAAGAAAAACGCGAAATCAAAAAGAAGCAGAGAATTTCACCGGAGTTTATGACTCCGGTGACTGGTCGGAGTAGTAGACTTCAACCGCATCTCTACCACAACAAGCTTTCTCCGATGGGGTTTGAATTAAGAGAACTTGAAACCTATACAAGATTCCCTCTAAGACTTGTACCTGATCATCACTTTGGAAGGTGAGGAAGTACCATTAAATATTCTCTAATCTATTTTTTTAGAGATTACCTTGACGGAGAACTTGTTATTAAATATCTTCTGATGTTGCAATGTCATGGTTGATGAATTCAAGTTTTATTTGGTGAATTGGCAAAGACTGAATAAAATTATGGTTGATAATTCAATGAGTGCCCAGATTGGAAGGTAACAAAAGTGAATATAAATTTGGGAAAACTACACATAGGTAGAGTGAGGAGTCTTAAATAACAAAACAGTCTATTTTAAAAGTTTATTTTTCAATTTGGTTGAATAAAATAATAATAATTACAAATGCATCAAGAATTATTGTTAAGGTCCAAAATACCCTCCAATAATTTTCTCTTCATTCAATCCAGTAGAGAATTCATTCAATCCAGTATAGGAGTCTTAAATAGCAAAACAGTCTATTTTAAAAGTTCGGTTTTTAATTTTGGTTGAATAAAATAATAATAATAACAAGTGCATCAAGAATTATTGTTAAGGTCCAAAATACCATCCAATAATTTTCTCTTCATTCAATCCAGTAGAGAATTCTTGCCAGTGGAAAACAAAATCAGAATTCACTTAAACACCCTCCAAGAGTTGGTTCTCCAATGTGGGGGTCTTCATGGTTTTCCTAATTTATATCTACAAACACATAAATAAACGAAATCCTAATAAAACAATTTACCCATTCATACACGGGCATGTAACTGGAAAATGCAAAACTCCTTCAAACCAGAACAATTTTCAATTTAAAGAGAATTAAATCTCCCAAAGCTTGTTCGTCAATTCACTTTTTCAAATAGAGCACCTACAAATCATATTTTACACTATAAACAAACAGACCTATCATACCCAAAATTAAGTATCTTCATTTATGCAATACTCAATATTTGTGTACTGTAATATATCAACAAAAACACACAAGCAATTCAAGTCACGTGAATGAACCCATGAATTTCCATTATATGGATACACAAACACATACCAAACATATATATATATATATATATATATATTACCAGAAACAGTAACAAATCGGATCAAATACATCACACGAGAACAAATTGTACAATAATAATATGGTACCTTGTTTAGTGAGTAAATTTACTAGCAATCTTTTTGGTATTTTAGAATAAGAGTTTGTTGGGTATTTTGGGCCTTAACAATAATTCTTGATGCATTTGTAATTATTTTATTTAATTCAATCAAATCGAAATATGAACTTTTAAAATAGACCATTTTGTTATTTAAGACTCCTAACTCTACCTATGTGTAGTTTTCCCTATAAATTTTATGATAATGATAATAATAATTTATTTATTTATCAATAAGTAAGATTGTAATGAAGAGTCCCCAAACAGGGGAAGCGGCCCAGAACAACTGCACAAATAAAAGAAACTATAGCCTCAAGCTATCTACAATATACAAAAAATATTTACAATTTGAGATCCAAGAAAATAAAGTGCTAAGAACAGAGAATCTAAAGACACCCCATTCCCCAAAGAGAATCTTCACTTTGTAGAACCATCTAGAATCATTTTTCTAAGTTGATCAAATGCAGCATAACCATGTTTACAAACCATGGAGAAGCAAACGTGAGGCATATCAGAGCCAAAAGGCGTATGGATCATCTCATGATGTGTGCTTCATGTGGGTGTGCTGTATTCTGCTTCTTGACTGTACTTTGTTTTGTTATTCGTTGGTACTTATTGTGGCAAAATGAACAATTGTTGAAGTAGGTTAATATTTTTTGGATAATGGATGCTAGAATGTAATGTACAACTGTGATAATGTTTTTATATGCTTACAGCCACCTACTACCTTTCAGATTATATTGCGTTTACTAATATGATATTCGGAACAAGTTTTACTGTAGGGTAAAGTGCAGAAAACACCCCTATACTATCGATATAGTGCGTAAACCCCCATGTTGTTCCTAAAACTCCCCAAAAGTTTCATAAGTGTTCAAATAATAACTATCTGTTACATTTCGTTTGACGGAAAAAGAAAAGGACTTAAATGCCAAAAACCTCACTACACCCTTTATCTCTTTCTCACAACCTCACTGTACTGATGTACTCAAAGCTTCACAACATTTTATACCCATAAACACAGCTTTAAATTTCTCACCTTTGGGACAGAGACATGGCGTCTCTTTGTCCTCTTATACCGAATCACAAAAATGCCCACCGCAATCAAGCTCCAATCCTAACTCCGACACCAAGCGCAATCAATTTAATATTATTCGATGATCCCAACAGCAGAAGAATTGTGTCTAGCTTCCATTCCCCACCGGCAGAGAAACAATGGTGCCCGCAAAGAAACCACCAGTGACGCCGGAGAGGGCAGAGTGGCGGTAGGGGAGGGGGAATAGTGGAGTTCACTGCCGATGACGGCGCGAAGGAGGCGAAGTGGGTTGCAGAGAAGCTCCCAGAGGTGGTGAAGACCTCGCTGAGTTTTGATGTTATTAGTGGGTCAAAAAAAAAAAATTACTTAAGTTAGGGTGTCAAATTTTCATAGAGTTTGGTACTGTACAGAGAGAAACTAAACCTAAAGCAAGGCTTATTGCATAGTGGATAGTGAACAGTGATGGAGCCATTGAAGTTGAGAGTGACAAAATTCACCAACAGAATCTATGCTCAAAATTCACAATAGAAAGAGTTCAGGAAAACTGATTTGGAACCATAAGACAACATCCATTAAACTGATTTGGAACTATAAAATAACACAGTACACTGGAACGGGCTTCCATATCATAAAGAGGGATACGAAGCGGGCTTTTCTCGCTTCTTTAGTTAGTAAAGTCTAGTTTTTGGACCTATCTACAGAAAGAGAGCTCTTGTTGTGAGCTGTAAAAGAGAGTTGAGAAGAGGGGGACGGGTAGAAAAATGAAAAAATGTATACATGATGTCAAGGGGTATTTTCGTCATGTCAAAAGAGCATTTATGGGATTACACCATCACTTTTTCTTGTTCTAATGAGGCTGACAGTAGAAACAAGGAAATCCATGTTTCAAGATTTAAGAACCCCCCAAGTTTTATCTTGCTTTATCACTAAATGAAAACAACACAGCAGATAAGAAAATTAAATCCTGGAAAATACACAATGGTCTTCATTACACTGAAGGGGGCGGGAGTCACAAGACTTTATGAGATCACAGCATCAGCATCTATTGAGCAGCCCAGAAATAGACCTAAATCAATATTTCTTTTTTTCCCCATTTTTTTTTTTGTTGGGGTGGGGGGGCGCACCTATTTTTCACTATGGAACTTGAACCCTAAACCTTTTTACTTTGGGAGGTAGAGGAGATACCACTTGGCTATAACCCTTGGTGGTAAGAGCCCAAAACATTTAATGACCTAAAACCCTATAATAGCAATTTAAAACGGCAATAAACTCAATTTGCCTCTAACAAATAGAAACAACATGAGATGTGTACGATATGTCTAAGCAGCAATATTCATCCATGCCTTAAATAAATTATCATCCAGGGTAGAATATAGAAAACAAACAGTTGCTGACAAGATGAAGTTAAACTTCTTCAAAAGCAAGTGGCCAACAAAATTGAAAAGAATTGCTCCTCCGAGTGCACAAGCCTTGGAACAGAGAACAACTATATATAATGGTATATATAAAATACTACCTCCGTCCCATTTTAAATGTCGCCTTCGGGAAATGTGACTCACAATTTTAAAATGGGACGGAGGGAGTAGTTAATAATTGCAGAAACACATTTGTAATACAGGCAACAAGTTCTGTAATAAAAGACGTTTAGTGAGGATTTGCAGTAACCTTGTCAAGAGTCTGAGCATGAAGAACGTACAATGGAGGAGCAACCAGTTTAATCCTCACTGGACATTCCTTAGTGCCAGCAGCTTCAGCTTTACGCATGGCTTCCTGCATAGCCAGATGAATGCAAATTCAAAACTGATAAGCACTTTGAACTAAGAATACTTTCCACAATATTATCACTGTTTTAATAATCAAGAATATATAGAAATAAAGGGCAAGAAGAAGACCTTGATGTGAAGAACACCATCAAACTGGAAACATTTCATCTCAATCTCAGCCCGAATATTCAAAGGTTGTGGGGTCATTCGTCTCCGAATGTCTTTCACTAAAACATCTTTAACTTCCTCAGAGATAGCAGGAACCACCTTAGTCACCTATAGAATATGGACACCGAAAAAGCCATTTTAACCAATGTGAAGAAGTGGCTCTAAAATCTCATATAAACAAAGTTTACCTCCTTTCCACCAGGACCAATTTCTTTAAGCTCACGAGTGAGGGAATTAAGAATGGAATCAGGATCATTAACAATCAACTTGAATGCCTACCCAGAGGGGAAAAAACACAAAAGTTTAGATCTTTACTAGACACTTGAGGAGAAAGTAAAGCCTTCAAATAGTTGTGAACAATCTCACCTCAAAAGCATGACTATATTTTCGGTATAAAGGCCAGCCGACATGGATATACAGATCCTGCCATGGATAACTTGCTTTTAGAAGCAGCCCACATGAAGAATAAAGACCACTAGATCAGTTGTACTATCAGCAAATCTTTTGACTATGCATACAATATTTGGAAGTAATATGGCAACAAGCACCAAAATTTTAAAGGATTTCATAATGCAACAAGGAAACTATGAATAAGAAAACATCCTCGTTTTCACTTTTGAGTTAGCAATAGAAGAATTCATCTAATTTCTCAAACGCACACAAAATTCAACTCAACGCATGAAAAGGCATGGATTTTTTTTTTTTTTTAAGAAAATATGTAAATGAAGAAATTGATTCCAACAGAATTTTCTCACAAACCAGGTGGTAGATGCAATTAAGGACTGTTCAGAATGTGAGGTCAACAAGACTTTGGTTGGCAAATTGCATACAGAATGGATTCTGTAATTTTTATTTTAGTTCTTTTTATGTTTTAAAAGCTAGGTAAGTTGAGTTTGCTCTGTCCAACGGCAAACTGGAGAATTCAAAGTTTCAACAAGGGCAAAGAGGTAAACTTAACTCTCCATATTGTGCACTCACCAATTTAGGTTCATATGCATTCTTTCATATTATTAACCATGTTTGAGTTTTTAAATTGCATGTTCAACGTCATTTTTAATGCATAAAGTATCTTTGGAAAGTCAAATCCTATTAAAACAATCCTCTTGCGGTGACCTTTTTCATTTGAACTGCAGTGTGGGGCAAGATTCTGATGCTTGATAATCTGAGAAGGAGAAGACAAGTCAGTGTCAATTGGCGTTGCATGTGTAAGATGGATGGAGAGTCAGTAGACCATCTCCTTTTGCATTGTCCCGTGACTTTCGATTGTTGGAGTCTTTTTTTTGGCTTGTTTGGAGTTTTTTTTTAAAGAAAATATGTAAATGAAGAAATTGATTCCAATAGAATTTTCTCACAAACCAGGTGGTAGATGCAATTGCATACAGAATGGATTCTGTAATTTTTTTTTAGTTCTTTTTATGTTTTAAAAGCTAGGTAAGTTGAGTTTCCTCTGTCCAACGGCAAACTGGAGAATTCAAAGTTTCAACAAGGGCAAAAAGGTAAATTCAATTCTCCATATTGTGCACTCACCAATTTAGGTTCATATGCATTCTTTCATATTATTAACCATGTTTGAGTTTTTAAATTGCATGTTCGACATCTTTTTTAATGCATAAAGTATCTTTGGAAAGTCAAATCCTATTAAAACAATCCTCTTGCGGTGGCCTCTTTCGTTTGAACTGCAGTGTGGGGCGCAAGATTCCAACGCTTGATAATCTGAGAAGGAGAAGACAAGTCAGTGTCAATTGGTGTTGCATGTGTAAGATGGATGGAGAGTCAATTGACCATCTCCTTTTGCATTCTCCCGTGGCTTTCGATTGTTGGAGTCTTCTTTTTGGCTTGTTTGGAGTTCAGTGGGTCATGCCTTGGTCTTCGAGAGGCTTGATTGATGCTTGGAGAGGGTGCCTCGTGGGATCCCATGCTCGTGATTTTTGGAGGGTGGCGCCCCTATGCATTTGGTGGTGTTTATGGAAGGAGCGGAATAGAAGATCCTTTGATGGAGAGGAGTCTTCTATTCGAGCTTTAAAATCTCTTACTATTAGCTCTCTTTTTTGTTGGGTTACGGGGAGATTTTTTTTTTTATATATATAAGATTTTATAAAAGGAGCTCAAAAGGGGAGCGCTAACAAAGAAGACAACATCCGTCCAAGACGACACTATAGCTTTAAGCTATCCACAAAATCCAAAAGAGAATCCATTGAATTACAGTCCCGCCCATTTACCCAAAAGAATAAAGAAGTAAGAATATTGTATTTAATAGCCCAAATGGGAGACTCCACTCCCTCAAAAAATCCCTTATTTCTCTCGCGCCATAGACCCCACCAAATACAAAGGGGAGTGGCCCTCCAAGCATCTCTGACTCGGCTCTCCACTGTACACCCTTTCCAAGTCTCTAACAAGTCTATCGTGGATTCTGAAAGCACCCATGGAAGACCAAATGCAACCAAAAGCATAGACCAAACATCCCTAGCCACCAAACAATGAATAAGACAATGGTGACAGATTCACCCATTGTCTTGCACAAACAACACCTGTTAACCACAATATGACTTCTTTTTCTAAGGTTATCAATAGTTAGGATGCTTCCCAGAGCAGCGGTCCATGAGAAGAGAAAGCAACCTTCAGTGGAGCTTTTGACCCCCAAATGGCCTTCCAAGAAAAAATGGGGCCCGAACGCTCCAACATACAATTGTAGAAGGACTTCACCTCGAAAACCCCGCTTTAGGTACCCACACACAGCATCGCATCCTTACCCACCCCGACCACCACCTAGCTATAAATGAAGGTTAGGAAGTCTAAAACCTCCAAAAGTTCCCAATTATGGAACTGTCGGTGAAACTGCACATCCTAAGTCACCCTCCCATTATCGAGACAATAATAGTCAGCAACCACAGCATCTCTAAACACAGCAATCCGGTAAAGACGTGGGAATTTGAAGGCTAAAGCCAAATCCCCACACCATCTGTCTTCCCAAAACCTGACATAACTTCCGCTTCTAACCTTGAACCGAATACGTTTGGAGAATTCATCCCACCCTCTATGGATTAGCTTCCAGAAGCCCATTCCTGGGGTTCTAGCCTCCTTTGAGTGGCACCCTCCATCTCCCTCTCCATAATGACAAGCGATAACTCGCCTCCAAAGCTTGGTCCTCTCTCCTCCAAACCTTCACAACCACTTGCCCAACAACGCCTTATTAAACACATCCAACCTTCGCATATCCAAACCCCCCTTATTAATAGGGGAACACACTCTCTCCCAGTTAATCAAGTGGTACTCGAACTCATCTCCTAACCAGCCCCACAAAAACTTCCTCTGAATATCGTCGAGTCTTCGAACAACTGACTTAGGCAACAGAAAGAGCGACATAAAATAGATCAGGAGATTTGAGAGCTTGCATTTCATAAGAGTAACCCTCTCCCCTTTGGACAAATATTGCTTTTTCCAACCTGCAAGCCTCCTCTCAACAATCGGATCCAACACAGCAACTCTCCTTGACGAGACTCCCAAAGGGAGTCCTAAGTAGGAGATCGGGAGAAAGCCAACACCGCACCCCAGACAATCAGCCAAGTCTTGAACCTCCTCCACCTCACCGACTGGGACAATCTCACTTTTCCCAATGTTAATCTTCAACCCGGAAACAACTTGAAAGCAGGCTAACACACACCATAAATACCTTAACTGAAGGAGGCTAGCATCACAAAAGACAATAGTGTCATTTGCAAAGAGCAGGCAGGCGATGACTAACTGATTTGGAACTCTTCCCATTAAGAATCCCTGACTGAACCCAAGCTCTTCCGCCCTCCCCATCAGCGAGCTAAAAGCCTCCATGACAATGATAAACGAGAAAGGGCAAAGAGGGCCCCCCTGCCTCAAACCACGAGAACTAGCAAAGAAATCAGCAGGGGATCCATTCACTAAAATAAAGAACGGAGCAGTTGAAATACAGAAAAGAATCCACGCCCTCCACTTCTACCCAAAACCCATTCTCTCCATCAAATACAACAAAAAAATCCTAACAAACATTATCATAGGCCTTTTCGATATCCAGTTTGCACACAACCCCCGGGATACCACTTCTCGCCCTAGCCTCAATGCATTCACTAGCAATCAAAACTGAATCCAGAATCCAACAAAAGCATTCTGGGAGTCCGAGATCACCCCATCGAGAACTCTCCTCAACCGAATGGCAAAGACTATCGCAATAATCTTAATACACTGCCCTAACAAGACTAATGGGTCTAAAGTCTTTCGCCTCACATGCTCCGCTCTTTTTGGGGACAAGAGTAATGAAGGAAGCATTGAGACTCTTCTCAAAGGAGCCATGCAGGAAAAAAAAAAATTGATTGCCCCCATCACCTCAGCCTTCACCACCTCCCAATTCTGTTGAAAGAAAGCTAAAGTAAACCTATCTGGCCCAGGAGCTTTATCCCCATCACAACTCCTCAAAGCCACCAACACCTCTACCTTCGCAAACGGCATTTCAAGCTAGTCTCTATCACCTTCTGAGATTACCGCAAACTCAAGCCCATCAAGAAGAGGCCTCCAACTGGCAATCTCCTCAAGAAGCTGCTTGTAAAAAGACACAAAGCTCGAACTGCCCCTAACCTCACACTCCGTCCACCACAATTGAATCCTATCTTTGAAGTCATCAAACCAGAGTCACATATTTTCAAACCAGAAGGGCGCTCTCCCTCTCCTCACTCCTCCACAATCAAGGAGGATAGGTATGTGGTCCGAAATAGCACAGGCCAAAGCCATCTGAGAAACATCCGGGAATTTCTCTTCCAAATCTCCCGAAATCAAAAATCTTTCCAACCGTGACAACGTTGGAGAATCCCATCCACTCGACCACGTGGACTGGCCTCCTGCCATCAGGATATCCATGAGATGGTGAGGATTTTGTTGAATTTTTGGGTTCTTTGGGTCCTTAGGATCCCTTTTGAGCTTTTGGCCTTTGTGTAGCTTTTGGGATGCTCAATTTTCCAAATCTGAATTGAACTCTTTTAAACCTAAACTGCAAACCTGTAACAACCATAGAGACTTAGAGAGCGTATTTTGCATCCTAGCAATCTAATTGCTAGACTTTTTCTCTCATTCATCATTTATGCATATAGATGGTGAGTGTTCATGCGTGTTGAAACATATAGTTCCTACAGCTTCAAGGATTTCAATGCATATAAATGGTGAATGTTCACGAGTGTTGAAACATATAATTTCCTAGAGCTTCAAGGATTTCAACACTGCAATAAGTTCCGCATGAAAAACAACCGACCTGAATGACTAGTTGAGTAGATCAAAGTGTTCGTGGAGAAGCAAATCACATCAGGAGCGGATTTGTTGACGTAGCCGACGACCTAGAGACTCCAGTGCGGAGTTTGTCATCGTTTTGTGCCAAGAGGTAACTAGGATTTCTAAGGTTTGAGAAA